GGCCCCTGGCGCCCCAGAGCACACTGCACACAGCTGCCGGAGCCCTGGGCCCCTGGCGCCCCAGAGCGCACTGCACACAGCTGCCGGGGCCCTGGGCCCCTGGCGCCCCAGAGCGCACTGCACACAGCTGCCGGGGCCCTGGGCCCCTGGCGCCCCAGAGCGCACTGCACACAGCTGTGGGGGCCCTGGCAGCCTTTTGGCCTGAGAAAACAATAGGCTTAACTCTCCTTCTCCCAAACATTCCGGCAATTAGCACAGGGTAATTTATCCATTAAACAGTTCAGCTACAGGTTACCACAACCTTCAAAGAGACACAGAGACAATAATACTATTTCCCTCAAGTATCATCATAAATGTTAATATTCCTTTTTTGATCTTTGAATTAAAGCTATAGCAATAGACAAGACTTGTTTGCTGACATCACAAGCCCTGAGCAAACACCTCCCCTTGAGATCTCTAACAATGCAGACTCGCATTTCAAAGCGCTGTTCATTTACAGATCTTCCTAACCAGTCTCTAAAGTTGGGCCCTGGGTCAGGTCAGTCTGGGAGGTAATTAACTCTTTCTGGCCCTGTCACCTGTCAATGAGAGATTATATCACACTCCTAGCAGGCAGGGGTTGCCCTGCCCCCCCGGAGTCTCCTGCCTGGGCCGTGTCCCTGCGGTGTGGTCCAGGGCAGCTTGGGGTTTGCCTCTGGGACGCTTCAGCTCCAGCTTCTTTCAATGTGTCAGGCACAGGGATGGTCCAAGCCATGTCAGCTGTGGCACCGCCTGCCCGGCTCCTGCACAGGGCGAGCCGGGCTGCAGTCACAGCCTCCCTAGCGCTCACGGTCTCAGCCTCGATTAGGTCTCCTGCGCCCTGGCCCTACAAGCGTCCGCTGCCCCCTAGCAATCTCGGTCGCATCCCAGCCGGGGCAGCACATGGGCATCAGGGCAAGCAAAGGAGGCAAATACCAGCCTGCTCACTGGGCGCGCGCAACAGGGTGACGTGGGGCAGTAGATGCACATAGTGGAGTGGGCAGGAGCCCTGGCCAGGTGCCGTGGGCAGAAGTGGGCAGTGGTGTGGGGGAGCCCAGCCCCAGGGGTGGTGGTCGGAGGGAGCCCTGAGTGGAATCCCTTGGTTCAGTCCAGTATCTCCTCCCTGCGTGGCTCTGGGCCCCAGGCGGGCTCGTGTTCTTCCCGTGTGGCGCCGAGCAGTGCCGCCCGACCCCGGAGGGGCTTAGCATTAGGGTCTCCCTGTGGCACAGTCACAGCCAGTGCCCAGGGAGCAAGAAATGCTGCTCTTCTGGGCGTAGGCTGTGCTGCGTGCAGCCAGCCACAGGTACCAGCTGCAGTGAGACCATCTCCGCCAGCTGCTGGGAGATCACAGCTGCTTTCCCGGGAAGGAGCTGGGTCCCCGTAACCCCCTCTCTCATCACACTGTCTGGGACAGGCTGGCACTGAGCCTGACAATGCTCTAGCACAGAAACAAAGTTGGGTCTTGCAGGGAGCTGCCCAAGGCTGGGAGCTCGGCTCTGCACTCCTGCAGGAACTGCTCCCTCTCCCCAGCTCCACCCTCCCGGAGAGCTGGCATCGCAGCTGCCTTCCCTCCAGCTGAGCCCATCCGTCCCGCTGTGGAGCCCCCGAGGAGCTCCCCATGCCAAAAGCATGCCACTTCCACGTGGCTATGACCTGCCCCCCAATTCCATAGGCTGTTCCCGCGTGCTGCCCCCCTGTGCCAGCAGGACGCGGCCTGCCCCAGCAACAGGCAGTGCTGCTTTCACGCCTGGGCAGACTCATCGCAGGCACCCGAGACTGCGAGTGACCCCAGCCGGGTTCTCAGTGTGGGGATCTCCCGCTCCGGCACCGCCGGGGCCTGCCGGGAAGGGCTGCGCCGAGATCACGGCACTGCCCAGCGCTGGTGCCGGCGGTCGCTGGGGGATCCGATACTGAGGAATGACGGGCACAGAGGGCCCAGTGGCTGCGTCTAATCCCCATGTCCCATAACCCAAAACAAGGGGGTAAAATAAACCTGGGGGCAAGAGCCAGCCACTGATCGAGGGGCGGGGCCGCTAGGGGCTTCTTGCCCTGTCTTTGCTGGAATAGCCAGGATCCCCGGCTGGATGGGCCCTGCGTGCCTGGGCCTGGCAAACACACAGGCGCCCCTCTGTCCTGTGGGGACCCGGGCAGGTCTGACAGTCCATCGGGTGCTCCTGTCTCTGGTCACCCACTCCGGTCGGTTCCCGCCTGGGGGCTGATGAGCCTTGCTCTGCTTAGCACTGATGTTCGGTGTCTCCTGAGCCCCCAGGCCAATCCAGGGATGCTGTTTCCTGGCGGGGAGACTTACCCGGGGCAGGGAGTCAGTTACCCCCACTCACTTTAGGCCTGCAGGGAACCTCCTTTATCCGGCCACGGAGCCAGCCCAGATACGCACGCAGAGCGTGGTACCTGCACACAGTAGGCAGGTGTCCCTCGCGCCTGTCACGACAACTCCTCCATTTCTGTTCCCAGCGCCCAGGGGCAGCGACAGCCTCCTCCCTGCCCGTGACCAGGGTAAGTGACACTGTCGAGGGAAGAGGGGGGCTAACGGGCAAGCGGTGTGTCCCAGAGTGTCTGAGGCTCCGCTGGGATGAGAGGGGGGTGGGGAGGAATCTTCTACCTGAACTCTCCTCTCCAGGCTGTGACATCCCCAGGGTCTCTGCCAGTTCTCGCGCCCTTTCCACCATCAAAGCCCTCCCTCCATGTGGGCATGCCGGCATGGCTCTGTGCCGCGCATCCTGCTCAGCCGGGACACCAGGCACTTTCTCCTCCCCCCGAGGGGGGCACACTGCCTCTGTAACTCTCCCACCCCTGCCAGCTCCCACACCAGACAGCCCAGACAGCCAGCTCCCACACCAGACAGTCCAGGCAGACAGCTCCCACCCCTGCCAGCTACCCCCCCCCCCAGACAGACAGCCCAGACAGTCCGCTCCCACCCCAGCCAGCCTGGGCAGCCAGCTCCCACCCCAGCCAGCCTGGGCAGCCAGCTCCCACCCCAGACAGACAGCCCAGACAGACAGCTCCCACCCCAGCCAGCCCGGGCAGCCAGCCGGACAGCTGACGGGGAACAGCAATCCGCTAACCCCCCACCCGCAGGGACTGTATACACCATGGCCTCTCTCTGTTGCAGTGAGACCTGGGATCTGCCCCCCCGATCCAGTCCAATGTGCCCACTCAGCACTGGCCCATTGCTCCAGTGACCCTGAGTGCCCGGGAGAGCAGAAGTGCTGCTATATCGCATGCAGATTCCGCTGCGTTGACCCAGCAGAAGGTACCAGAGACGGCGAGTGGCTGTGCATCAGTGCAGGGAGAGCGCCCTGCGCCGGCCGAGCCGAGGGTCCCCTCGGGAGGGGTACGCCAGCCCCTGGCTGCAGACAGATCGCTGCACTGCACCAGCCATGACTCACGTCCAAGGGCACCGCACACGGCTCACCAGGGGGGCCCAGGTACCTGGGACCTTCCCAGCTCCCCCGCGCCCATGACACTGGGGACAGGCTGGGGCTGAGCCTGACACTCCCCCATCACAAATCCCCCCTCGGACAGGCTGCAGCCGCCTGCGAACCTGAGCCCTGCAGGAGCCCCCAGCACCCCCCAACTGCCCCGCTGCAGCCTGTCGTGGGCTGCCCAGGGAGCTGAGTCTGTGCAGCCCTGAGCCCATGGGCCCTGCTCTGACTGCAGCGGGGGGGCTCCAGACTGACTGGATAAGGGGGGGGGGGGCTCCAGACTGACTGGATAACGGGGGGGAGGGGCTCCAGACTGACTGGATAACGGGGAGGGGGCTCCAGACTGACTGTAATGGGGGGCTCCAGACTGACTGGATAACGGGGGGGAGGGGGCTCCAGACTGACTGGATAACGGGGGAGGGGGCTCCAGACTGACTGGATAATGGGGGGGCTCCAGACTGACTGGATAACGGGGAGATGGGGAAGCGCCAGGCTGAGAGGGATTCTGGGCCCGGGGTCTGGGGGCATTTCTTTCCCTGACCAGATCGGCCAGTAGCTGCATCCAGCCAGCACTGTGAGGGGTGGAACTGAGGTTTCCCACGGCTCCGCTCAGCCCCCCACACTCTGAGCATGTCCCTTGCTTGCAGAGAAGGCCGGGTATTGCCCGGTCCTCATGCCCGCAGGCCTGAACCTCAGTAAGAGCTGCCGCCCCTGCCTGGCGAACAGATCCTGCTCCACCTGCTTTCGGGACGCGGATTGCCCAGGCCCGGAGAAGTGCTGCCCAGGCCGGTGCGGAACCCGCTGCTGGGAGCCCGTCTCTGGTAAGAGAACATACAACCGGCCATACAGGGTCAGCCCAGTGGTCCCGCTAGCCCCGTACCCTGTCCTGACAGAGGCCAGGCCCAGCTTCTGGCAGTCAGGGGTTTAGGGACACCCGAGCATGGGGTCACCTCCCTGACCATCTTGGCTAATGGCCATTGATGAACCTGTCCTCCAGGAATGTATGTAATTCTTTGTTGAACCCAGTTATACTTTTGGCTTTCACAGAATCCCCTAGCAGTGAGTTCCACAGGTTGATTGTGCGCTGGGTGAAGAAATACTTCCTTCTATTTGTTTTTATTCTGCTGCCTAGTAATTTCATTGGGTGAGCCCTGGTTCTTGTGTTATGTGAAGGGATAAATAACACTTCCCTATTCACTTTCTCTGCTCCAGTCATAAGTTTATAGACCTCTCTCATATCCCCCCTCAGTCATCTCTTTTCCAAGCTGAACAGTCCCAGTAGGCCCCAGTCTGGCCTGACCATAGGACACCTGCCGCCCACCGACAACCCCCCCCCCCCCCCCCCCGCCCCCCCCCCCCATCTATGAGCAGCAAGACTCAGAAGCCGGGGCCCAGGGGCAGGGCAGGTCCCCCAGAGCACAGCGCCCTGCCCGACAGGCAGAGGCAGCGCTGGGAGCCTGCCTAGCATTGAGCTCAGCACCCTGGGGGCCTCAGGGAGGCTGTTGCTGGCCCTGGGCTCCCTCTTGGGTTCGATACTGCCTGGCCCTTCCCATGGGCCGAGCCCTGTGGGCAGCTCTGCCGCACTCAGATGGGCCCTGCCATGCCCGCGGGGCATGGAGCCGTGTCGGAGACAGAGAGCTGTGCCGCATGGAGTCCCGTCCCCGCACTCCCTCCGCTCTGCTCTGCACCTCCAGACTTCTGCCAGCTCAGCCCCGACATTGGGCCTTGCAAAGCCTGGGTCCCGCGGCTCTTCTACAACTCCAGCTCCCAGCACTGTGAGCTGTTTATCTACGGCGGCTGCCAGGGGAACCCGAACAACTTTGCTGAGGAAGAGGAGTGTCTGCAGGCCTGCGGGCCCCCTGGTGAGAGCAGGGCCTGGGGAGGGGGCTGACCTCACTCTGTAGGGCCATCCGCCCTACTCCCGCCTGCTCCCGCCAGTCCGCACAGTGCCAGGCACTCTCTGTTCTCTGTACTAGACATTTGCAAACTCCCCCCTGAAGCGGGCCCCTGCGACGCCGCGTTGCCCCGGTTCTTCTACAATGCCGAGGCCGGGCAGTGTGACGGGTTCACGTACGGCGGCTGCCAGGGCAACAGGAACAACTTTGAGACGGAGGCCGCGTGTCTCCAGGCCTGCGCAGGCCACGGTGAGGTGTCAACTCAGCTGCTGGGGCCCCGAGCCCTCCCCTCGCGCCGCCAGCTTGGCCAAGCTGCGGGTTTGGTCAATGGCTCAGCCACTTCCCTCGGAAAGTCCCTCCAGAACTTGGGGTTCCCTTCTGAGCCTGGAGACCCCCAGCACCTGCCTTCTGGACACTTCAGCCTCGGAGCCTCCCGGCTAGCCGCGCCGGGGCGAGGGCCCTCTCGGAGCCTATCTGGGGGCAAGGCCGATGCATGACGCTCCCTGGCCTCCCTGCAGTGTCGGGACCCTCCTCCCTTGCTCCCTGAGACTCACTGAACCACCGACTGGCACAGGCTCCCTGCCGCTGACGCACTCAGGCCCCTCGGGCTGTTTGCTCTTTAGGGTTCCCCTTCGGCCCCCCTAATCACCCACACCCATTCTAGCTGCCTGCCAGCCCCCGGTGGGCCCAGAGGGGCTGAGATTCCTCAACTGGCTGGGGAGCAGGAGTCCTGTGCCCTGGGATCAGGCCTGTCCGCCTCGGAGCAGGAGTGAGTCCACGGCCCTGCCTCAACCGCTTTCTCCTTTTCTCTCAGGCGCGGCCTAGCCCTGGCCAGAATGGGGCTCCACGGGGAAGCTGCAGTCCCTGGGGCCGGTCCCATTCACCCAGCACGACCCTTTGATGCGATGCTCTTCTGCCGTCAAGGCCCTGTCCTGTGTGGAAATGGGTTTTTCTGCATGTGCCTCTCACAGCCTCGTTACTGTGTCCCTGACCGTGTAATGGGGTCTCACCGGAGGCGCTTGCATTGTTACAGATAAAGGGATGTGGCTGCTTCAAACCTGTTCCCCCTCTAGTCTGGCTCATTAGCCGGTGTCTGAAATGCCGAACAACATTTCCACACTGTGCCTGCCAACAGCCTGCCCCGGCACTCCTCACTGCACTCCATCGGGCACCGATCGGCACGCTGAGGAGGCGTGTCGGTGTGTGCAAGGCAGGGTTTGCTCCCGTGCACTGGAATCTTGGTGTGGCCCAGTCAGACTCAGGCAGTGCTTGTGGAGATGGGAGCAGCCCGCGGGAGAGAGTTAGCTGCTTGGAGCAGGGCCTGTGTCTTCCCCTGGCCCCACTCGGAGCGGGACACCGAGGATTACACAAAGAATACAGTCGGGGTGTGCTGCCCTTTGCCCTTCAGGATTATTTTCTCTCCCATTTTCTCAGATTGTTACAGATGCTTTTGTAGACTGTGGCTGCATTTGCAACACAATTTGCATGCACAACTCCTGCAGTTACATGCACAAGCATGGTGTTGCTGGCACAGAGGTGCCCGAGGCAAAGCAACAGGGGTTCGTTGCCCGGCGTGCTTCGCGCCAATAAACACACCGGGGTGGAGAAACAATCAAAGGTTTATTTGAGATCTCAAAGTGGTGCAAGGAGACAGGCAAATCTCAAATCGAGCACACCGAACAAAGCAGCTTCTCTCTTCTTATACTTTACAATTAAGCCCTCCCTTCTCTCCCCCTGTATCACCCCCCCACTCCCCCTCCCCTTTCTACCGAAGACATGTTTATACATTTAAGCCGTTAAATCATTCTAGAGCTATAAATCTAGCTTGTTAGTAACATTCCTCTAAACAATCATTGGGTCCTATTTACTCTAGTTTACTACCCCTCCTCCAGCTAGAAACATGCAAACCTCATCATTATTGCTTAGGACCTGGTTATAAGCAAGGTCGTAATAGGTAACTGACTATTTACACATTCCAATTCCTGTCCTTGGCTTTTGAGGCCGCTTAAAGTTAAACATGGAAGAACTCTGGTTCATATATAGGCCTAATGACGCCATCAATGGGAAATGCGGCTAGACGCCCGCCAGCTATTTGCCTGGGCACGTATCACCACTGAACATGCATCCTAACACCTGGGCCCAATTGCGCCCCCTCTTATTCTTCATCCGTGGGGAAGGAGGGGCCAGGAAAAGGTGTCTGCGTTCCCCACAGGTGGCTGGATTGTCTCGACCTCCTTCCAGCATGACACCTCTCAGCCCCTGAGCAGTAGCTGAGGTGCTCCCTCGGGATGGGGTCTCAGGCAGGCACCGGGTCTCTGCTGCAGGGGGGCAGCCTGAGATCACACAGACAGTGGGGCCATGACCATATCATTCAGGTTCCCTGCACACAGGAAAGACTTCGTTTGCACCTTACAGGACTGAAACAGGATCCGGATGCAGATCTGCTGGTGTCTCATGCGCTGCCCATTTGGGGTGACTCCCAGGGTGGGCAGGCTCCACTCCCCCATACCAGAGTCTGACCTGTGTGGTCCAAGCTCAGACCATCCACAGACCCAAAGCTTTGGCACATGCTTTGCCAGACTGAGGCCAAACATTTTCCAAGAGGCCAAGGACACCGTTTTTGCTCCCATGATATCTCTGTTCTGTGACACCATTTCGTGTCTCCTCCAAGGCCCTTCAGGCCTGGCCGCTAACATTACGCTTCTCAGCTGTCACGTTAAAGGGCCCCAGATCGCTTTGGTCTTTGTTTCAATTCTGTTTATTGACGATTTTCCATATTCACTGAACCCCAAGTGAACAGAGAGACAATAGAATACAGCAGTGCAAGGAGCCCACCAGCTTGGCTTCCCCGTAGACTAGCATAGGGCATGTCAGGGTATAACCCAAATCCTTATCGTTCCTGAGACGCCCAAGGGAGAGCAATGGGGCTGGAGCAGAAATGGGGTAGAGAGATGTTTGGCATGAGAGCGGAGGGGGATTCAGGCAAAGAAAGGCTGCCGGAGACCTGCACCTGAGCCCAGGACACGGAGCAGCAGGATTTGATGGGCTGCAGATAGCCATGCTGACATGCACCTGCTGACACAACCTGGCAGGGCATCCAGCTCGGGATTCTGCGAACTCCCCCTCCTGTGTTTGTGCTTCTCCCAGGCTTGGCACTGGCTGGGAGCTGGCCTCTGGCAGGATGCTAGAGGTCACCACGGGGAAGCCAGCCCTTCCCCCTGCTGGCCCCGCCCCACCCATGCAGGGTTTAAATCCCCCCTAGCTCAGCTGTGGGTGCTCAGAGATAGCCCCCGACAGCACCATGAAGTCAGGTACCATCTTCCTCCTCCTGGGGCTCCTCACCCTGGGGAACGCCGAGAAACGCGGTGAGTGGTTTGCCTTGTTCCTCTGGCCTAGGGCAGCCGGGGTGGGGGTGGGGGAAAGAGCCGTGTGCCGTCATGGTGCTATGCAAGCCATGGCGCTGGGGTATCTAGAGCCCAGCAGCAGCTTGGCCTTCGATGGCTGGTTAATGAGGAGCTCCATCGTCCTAGCCCTGCGTGGCGCTGACGTGGGCTCAGGGGAGGAGCAGCCACATGCTGCCCATGGAAATCCACCCTGCTTACAAGGCTGCCTTTCCGGCTGGGCCCTTGCCCAGGGACCGGGCCATGCATGCTCTAAGATCTGCCTGGAGCACACTCAGCACGTGCAGTACGCAGCCCCAGTGCACGGCCATGCAAGCGCACACAGGTATTTATATCTGTAAGTTGCAGGTGGAAGAGCGAGGCCAGGGTTTGAACACCTCAGTCCCGAGCTGCCCACCCCCAGGGCTGGCCATGCTGACAGCTGCTGTCAGGTCTGGGTGGCACTGCACCAGCTCAATCTGGTAAGGCTGGTTTTGAAGAGGCACAGACATTTTTGCCACCTGGCTTCACCCCCTTCTCAGAGCAGGGACCAGCACAATGCTGTAAACACGGGAGCTCTGTCCACGCTCCAGCTGCCAGCCCGGCTTCCCCAGCCGAGCTGCACCGGGGAACAGGCTCTTCTGGGTTTCAGAGGGAAAGAATTGACTAAACAGCAGTGGATTTCAGACTCAGCCATGCTAACGTCTCCAAAGTGAAACGACTAAAGGTGGCTGCAAAGCCTCTGATCTGTAACCGGTGCTGGCCCTCAAATGGACAACAAAAGAGCTGTCCGGCCTGCAACTCCTGCTGCAAAAGGAGTCTCTGGCCAATCTGGTCTCTCTCCGCACTCTCCAGGGGAGACAGGGACTAGAAAGCCAGACAATCCCCAGCCCAGAATGCTGCCCGAAGCCTGGTAGCAAGTCTCCTAATACATCTATCAAATCGGGGGTGGTACCGTGTGACTGGAGAATAGCGAAGATAATGGCTGTATTTAAGAAAGGGGGAAAAAGGTGATCCTGGAAAATACAGCCCCTTTAGCCTGACCTCTGTAGAACATAAGGGTTTCGAACAAATTGTGAAGGAAAGAATAAAGACGGGGAGGTAAATGGAAAATGGGATAAAATGCTCCAGGGGTTTACCAACGGCAGATTGTGCCTGACTAACCTGGTGTCTTTCTTTGATAAGAGAACTGATTCTCTAGACGATCTAATCTAGCAGGACGTCAGTAAAGCATCTGACAGATGCAGCTAGTTAAAGTGGAGAAGATGGGATTAGCACAAGAACTGTGGTGTGGGCGAGGAGCTGACGAAAGGGGAGATGACCCCGAAAGGGGTTGTGCTGGAAGGGGGAGGGCCGGGCTGGAGGGAGGTTCTTGGTGGAGCTCCTCTAGGATTAGTCTTGGGACCAATCTTATTTGATATTTTGATTGGTGACCTTGGCACAGGAAGCAGGAGTGAGCTAATGAAGCTGAGGTCACAAAGTTGAGACATTTTGTTTCAAATGTAGCTCCATTTAACACAAATAAAGGTAAAAACCACTTGGAAAGTGAAGGTTTTGCTCCACCGGAAATGACAGTTTGTGTGTGTGTCTTGGCCACTGAACCGAAAGCCCCATCGTTCACCCAGCGCGAGAGTCAGAGGCAGCGCCACAGCTGAGGGGCTGGGTCCTGCTGCCACTGATGTTGGGGGAGCAGGATCAGGCACTTCCATCTCCCGCGCGCGTCAGACCTCGGCCAGGCAGCAGGTTCTTCCGTGGCAAAACCCCAGGGGGACCCACAGGGCACTAGGGTGAATGCTGAACATCTCCGCTCGACCCTGGGAGAGGCAACGCTGGCCTTTCACTGCAGGCTGTTTGCCTTCGACAGGCGCATCGCCCCGGGCTAGGAGCAACTGACGCACAGCAGCCCAGTCACACAACTGCAACAGAAGCACGTTCTGCTCCGCTGCGGCTCCCCGCGGCGCAGGCCCGGGACGGGCTGGGTTAATGGGCTGAGGGCATGGACATGATGGGGGGCTTTAGAATAGTTAATAAATATTCACCCGTCTAAACCTTACAGCAACTCCCTGCAGCTTCCTGCTGCGCCTCCCTTCTCTTGGGGTAATGACAGTCCTCTCCAGCAAGAGCCCCCAGCTTCGGGCACTTGGCCTCAAGGATCAGGCCGGGACCAGGGCTGGGTGGGGAGAGCGCAGCAAGGACAGCTGCTCCCCTCCCAGCAGTTGGACAAGGTTCAACAAGGACAAGTGCAGAGTCCTGCACTTAGGATGGAAGAATCCCATTCACTGTTACAGACTAGGGACCGAATGGCCAGGCAGCAGTTCTGCAGAAAAGGACCTAGGGGTTACAGTGGACGAGAAGCTGGATATGAGTCGACAGTGTGCCCTTGTTGCCAAGAAGGCTAACGGCATTTTGGGTGTATAAGTAGGAGCATTGCCAGCAGATCGAGGAACGTGATCGTTCCCCTTTATTCGACATTGGTGAGGCCTCATCTGGAGTACTGTGTCCAGTTTTGGGCCCCACACTACAAGAAGGATGTGGAAAAATTGGAAAGAGTCCAACGGAGGGCAACAAAACTGATTGGGGGCTGGAGCACATGACTTATGAGGAGAGGCTGAGGGAACTGGGATTGTTTAGTCTGCAGAAGAGAAGAATGAGGGGGGATTTGATAGCTGCTTTCAACTACCTGAAGGGGGGTTCCAAAGAGGATGGATCTAGACTGTTCTCAGTGGTGGCAGATGACAGAACAAGGAGCAATGGTCTCAAGTTGCAGTGGGGGAGGTCTAGGTTGGATATTAGGAAAAACTTTTTCACTAGGAGGGTGGTGAAGCACTGGAATGGGTTCCCTAGGGAGGTGGTGGAATCTCCTTCCTTAGAGGTTTTTAAGGTCAGGCTTGACAAAGCCCTGGCTGGGATGATTTAGTTGGGGATTGGTCCTGCTTTGAGCAGGGGGTGGGACTAGATACCTCCTGAGGTCCCTTCCAACCCTGAGGGTATGTCTACACTACAGGATTAATCCGAATTTAGATAATTCGAATTTGGGAAACAGGTTGTATAAATTCGATTGTGCGCGGCCACACTAAGCACCTTAATTCGGTTTTAAACCACATTAATTCGGTGGTGTGCGGCCACACTACCCCATTAACTTAAACACAGTAATTTGGTGGTGTGCGTCCACACTAACCCTAATTCGAATTAACAAAATCGATTTAGGCTCTACTCCGTTCGTCGAGGTGGAGTACAGAAATCGATTTAAAGGGCCCTTTAATTCGAATTAACTGGCTCTGTAGTGTGGACGGGTGAAGGGTTAATTCGGATTAAGGCAGCTAAATCCGAATTAAAGTCCTAGTGTAGACCAGGCCTGAGATTCTATGGCTCTGTGACTGTCTCCTCCAAGTGACGTGGGCTCTTGTCTCCTGCACAGCCACAGCTAAGGACGGTGAGTGTCCGGCCGAAATGAAGGGGCCCGCACGCCCCCCTCAGGCCTACTGTCTCTCGGACGAGTCCTGCCCAGGGAGCGAGAAGTGCTGCAGCGAAGGCAACAGGAGAGTCTGCGTCCTCCCAGATTCAGGTACTGGCTGATCCCCTACGGGCAGGCAGGAGAGTCTCTTCAAACCCGTCCCAGAATAAAGCACAAGGGGGGTGGGGGCTGATGAGACAAAAGGCAGCTCTAGCACCGTCACAAGGGGGTCTCTGCACAGAGGCGTAGCAGCCGGTGGAATTCTCTGCCTGGATGGCGCTACCACCTGTTAAGATTAGGGTGATCAGCTCTCAGGCTTCAGGGCATATGCTGACTGCTGCAGGGGTCAGGAAGGCGCTGCTGAGCTGTACTAAAGGGGGCTCTGTGGGGAGTGAGGCCATGAGCCCTGCACCAGGGCGCTGGGAACAGAGATCCTCAGGGCTCTAGGAGAAACGGCTGCCCACAATCAGCCAGAGCCAGGCCCACCCTGCAATGCCCTCACCGGGGCTCTGCCAGAGCCCCCAGACTACAGCAGCTCCTGCCACGTGGCGTGGGGGGAGCCTGACATTGTGTCCTGCCAGCTGAAAAGTGACGTGCGGGGTTTTGGCTCTGGCCGTTTGGTCACAATAACCCGCTCCCTATGATGCAATGTAGTCATTGCCTCATCTCCTGGCTCACAGTCCCCAGCTCCCTCCCCGGCCTCTGCAGGGGAGGCAAAGGGAGACGTGTCCAAGCTATGCTAGCCAAGGGGCAGACTTCTGCTTCTGCAGAATCGGGGTCAGTACATCCTGCAGGAAGGAGAGTGGGGGAACCCGTCCGGTCTGGAAACGGCATCTCTTCTGATACAGGCCACAGCTTCCCTGGACTTCAGGCCCTCTCCTTCCCGCCCTTGGGAGCTGCCGTGCTCTGTTGTGTCTGTTCACGACATCACCATGCCCGTTAGAACGGCTGTGGTTACTCACACAGGTGTGCTACATTTTCACACTGCACCTGGTGCTCATTCTGTAGCCGCTCCGGCTGCTCCAATGAACATATCACACACACCAGGAACTCTTCCTTAGCAGCAAAGTGACAGGCGCTCTAGGGAGATCGGCAGTTCCACAGGTGATAGCCACACAGAAGGGCATTGCATTGCCATATACCTGCCAGGCCTTGCCTATTTGACCGAGCGATCCACACCCCAGAACTGGGCTGTAAGTACACATGGCTTGACAAATTCCCTGTGCTTTTCCCTTCTTTCCCAGTGCACCCTGGGTATTGTCCCAAGCCAGACTCAGGCCTGGTCACCATCTGTCTTGTGAGCTGCTCCGACGACGCGCAGTGCTCCATGGACGAGAAGTGCTGCGTTATCGGCTGCCACAGAAAATGCACCAAAGCTGAGCCAGGTAAAATGCTGCGAAGTAACTCAGGGGGCTAGCGGCAGGCACCATGGCCCTTTTCTCTGGGCCTAGCACGGTGCCTGCATCAGCTTGGTGCCGCAGGCTGGATTTCCAAACCAGTGAGGTCATGAGAACGTGGACATTTCGCACTTACAGCTGTGTGCCGCGTTCGTGCATTCAGTCACGGCAGCTGGCCACTCATGTGGCAAATCAGGCACGTTTGCCAACCCACTGACCCAATTTGCATGTGAAAACATGGTCACTGTGACATGACCTGGCCTTGCAGCTGTGTGCCTGAACCGTCTGGAAATTGCTCCCGCGCCCCTCGTCCCGGCCTGCTAACCACCCCCAGGGCTCCACTGCAGGGAGGAGTGAGAAAAGCCTTTTTGCAGAATAGCGCATGGCGGAGGCAATGCAATCCAGACTCTGCATGCGCTTGAGGCCTCCCATCCCCTCCTTGGCCAGGACTCTCCAGTGAGCACCGATGGAAAGGCGGGGGGGATCACTGCAGCAGCCCTGTGGGGTAGAAAAGGCCTGCGCCCACGGGAGGAAATCCCCCCTCCCCCCGCTGCAGAATTAGATCTGGGTAGATAAATGCCACTGCACGCTGGCAAGGCCTCCACAGCCGCGGGGACCTGGCCAGGCAGGCCCCCTCCCCCCCTGCAGGCAGAGAGCCCAGCTGGGCGTGATCAGAACCCCCAGCCCAGCCAGCTGCTTTCGCACAGGCAAAACTTCAGTCCCAAGCAGCCCCGTTGCCTCAGTGGAGCTACCCGGGAGCTTGAAGTGAAGCAGGTGCCAAGTGCTTTGCTGGGCCTGGGCCTTGGGCAGCAGAACCCAAGGAGCTGCCTAGCCAGGCAAAATGCCCAGCGGGGGAGGCCCTTGGCCTGGGCTGAAAGCGACTAACGGAGGCTTTTGCAATCCGCTGAGCGCTGTCATGCAGGAGAGATGGGTCAGTATGACCCCAGTCCTTATCTGGGTCCAAAATCCTGCTGCTCCCCAGCCAGGGCGGTTTGATTAGAACCAACATGGAACAAGCCTCCGCACCAGCAGCTTCTAGGAGCCAAGCATCTCCCACACAGTCACGCCATTCTGCACCTGAGCCGGCCTGGCCAGGGCTTTCCCCCCGGCAGCCGACAACCCCTCGATGCTTCTCAGGCCAGGGGGAGGAAGGCCCTGCCCGTTCGCCGACTCGGTTACACTGCACTCTGACTCTTTTCCAGCCTCCCCTGGGGTTTGTCCCAAGAGGAAAGTGCTGCAACCATTTGCTCCTTGCCAGGACAAGTGTGATACCGACAGGAGCTGCCCTGCGGAACAGAAATGCTGCTTCACTGGCTGTGGCCTTGACTGTGTCCTCCCACAAGCAGGTGCCCTCAGCACCACCCTGCCGCCTGCCCAGTCCGGAGAGGGCTGGGACTGGACCAAACAGACTCCAGAGGGAGGCAGTGTTCCAGGTGAAGAGGGGCCAGGACTCTGAGTGCACAGGGAGGCGGGGGGGTTGGCCCATTTCTCACCAGATCTCCCCACCCCCTAGAGAGTCCCTGCCCTTCTGCAGTGAAGCTGGGCCCTTCCAGCCCTGGGAGGGGCGGTGCCGCAGGGACTGGGACAGCTCAGGAGCAGCACAGGCCTGCAGCCAGTGCTGGGTGCAGCCACCACCGTCTGTCAGTAACGGGTCAGGTTGCCAACCCTCCAGGATTGTCCAGGAGTCTCCAGGAATTAAAAATTAATCTTTAACTACAGATTATGTCCCCTGGTGAAACCTCCAGGAATACGTCCAACCACAATTGGCAACCCTAGTAATGGGCGGAGGGAAACCTGTGCTTTACAGGCTGTTTTTAACAGTGCCTCTGGACTGCAGCCTTGTTAGCCCAGCAGGCACCGGCACTAGCTGGAGGGGTGTTCTGAGCTCGCTGGCACTTCCTGCGTGCTGGGAACAAGGGCCCAGGGTTATTTATTGAGCCTAGACCTGAAAGCTCTCTCCTGCTGTGCGAGGTGTCACTGTAACTAGGCGGTAATTAGCCAAGGCGACCGGCATGCGCTGGGGAGAGCGGGGGCTGCGTTAGGAGCCCGGCATTCACTACCAGGCTCGCTTAGACCGTCCCCTCGGGCTGTGCATTTGCAGGAGCTGGTGTGTGCAGAGATGGATGCACACCAGCCTGCCTGCTTGGTGCCCGCCAGTGCCTCATAGCTGGTCATTTGCATGCGCCTCTTTCGGAAGCAAAGTGCCTCGGTGTCTCCACCAGAGAAACGAGTGATGGGTGCCTGGGGCTAGCTGAGCGCCACGTACGACCAACATGGTGTTATTGCCACTAGTACAGGAAACTCAGCAGAGGGGGGGGTTTCTGTCACCCCCTGGCAGTTGTTCCTAGGGCCCCATTTCTGTTGCAGGGAAGCCTGGGATGCCAAGGAAACGTGGCACCTGCCCACCCAACCTCATCAAGTGTCTCTACACGGAGCCCCCTCTGTGCCTCAACGACAGCGAATGCCAGGGGCGGCAGAAGTGCTGCTACAACATGTGTCGGTTCCGCTGCGTGGACCCGGAGGAAGGTACCAGAGACGGCGGGCGGCACCACTCGTGGTGTCAGCGCGAGAGCTAGGCACAGAGTTGCTGGGGCAACCCCCCCGGTTCACCGGGTGAGGGCAAACGGTGGCACCCTTGGCTGCGCCCAGCCCCAAACAAATCCCCACAAATCGCCTCTCTCCCCATCCAGCACCGGGCTCATTCCACTGTGTAGCACAGGGATCCGCATCCTGCCCTCCAATGCCCCCGCCTTCGGGCACTGCTACTGAGAGCAGCTTTTTTATCCCCGGGGGTGCCCCAAAGACCTGGGGAAGAGCTTGTGGTTAACGACCTGCCCTGGCTGCAATCCCTGGCAGGCAAAGGGCACTGGCCTGCATTGCCCGCTGGCACTGCCTCAGCCATTGGCAGCAAATTGGTTGAGGGTGGCACAAAGTGGGCATGGATTAGGGTAGAGGGAAGGCAGGGAGAATGAGTGCTGGGCCGAAATTGGGGAGAGAGGAGCTTGGGCAGCAGGGTTAAGGCACGGGGCTGAGAGCACCAAGGGCAGGGGGGCGAAGGCGGCGGGTGAGGGCAGGGAGTGAGAGCAGGGGGCCACGGGCAGGGGGCCACGGGCAGGGGGCCACGGGCAGGGGGCAGCCAGAGCACGGGGTGAGGGCACGTAGTTCTCTTTCCTCCCATGGGGATGTCATCTGCCCACCCCCCATCTCACATCTCTGCCCTGTGACCCCTTGTGTTCCAGAGAAACCCGGCATCTGCCCAGCTGAGGCCCCAGAGGGCGGCTTTGATCCCTGCTTTTTCCGCTGCTCCGAGGACAAGGACTGCCTGGGAAGCGAGAAATGCTGCCTCCTGAGCTGTGGTGCTGGCTGCCTGGAGCCCGTGCAGGGTAAAGTGTCCTGGCAGTGGCAGCCAAGTACCAGAGCCCTGCGCTCGCAGCCAGGGGCCCCCGGCCACCTTAGCTGAGCCAGCAGGAGGAATCAGGGAAGGGTCAGGACTCCACCCGCAGACCTGCTCTGAGGGATCCCCAGGCCCCGGGGCTCAGAGTCCCAGCGGAGGCTGGGCTAGAAGTTGCTGCTCTGGGTGGGACGCTCTGTCCACCGGGAGCTCTCAGCCGGGGGCCAAGAGGTGGCAGGTGCTCGGGACAATGGCTGAGAGCGGAGGGGGGCAGTGTCTGTGGGTGCAGGCAGGGCTGGCGAGGGGGGAAGACGGGCTGAGCAGAGAGGGGCAGGAAACAGGACCCCAGGACGACGCCAAGGCTGCAGTGCTGTGCTGCCCCGCCCCAGGCTGCAGAGCCCCCAGCCCGCAGCAGGAGGCGACCCAGAGGCCCCGGCCAGGGGATCGCCGCTGCCACAGACCCGCCCTTTGCCGTTTTGGGGCGGGACTTAGGAGAACACCTGGGACAGAGCGAGGCCACTGGACAGCGGCTCGGCGGGTTTGGGGGCTGAGGAAGGACGGCAGACGCTAGGCCCAGCAGCGTCGAACCCCAACCTCTCCCCCCCAGCCCTGACCCTCTGGGGCGGGCTGGCGATGCTTAGCCCCCAAGGCAGGCAGCCCGGCTCAGACCTTCCCCAGTGCCAGGCTCATGTTTAACACCTCGCTTCTGCGGCACAGACGGGGCAGCCTGGGCAGGGGGCCGAGGGCTGGGGGGGCACGTCCAAGGAGGCACTGGCATGAAGGCAAGGCCCCGCAGCTGGGTCCGTGAGGAGAAGCTGCAGGGGATCCCAGCCCCAGGGGTCCCACCCAGAGAGGAGAGGTGAGGGGGAGTGAGAGCTTTGGCAGTTCGCCCCGTCTGGGAAGCCGCATTACCCCCACCCCAAATGCCAGCTCCACAGCTCCCATTGGCTGGGAACAGCAGCCAATGGGAGCTGCGGGGGCGGTGCCTGAGGATGGGCAGTGCACAGAGCTCCCTGGCCGTGCCTCTGCGTAGGAGCCAGAGCGGGGACATGCCGCTGCTTCTGGGAGCTGCTTGAGGTAAGCGCCTCCCGGAGCCTGCACCCCACACCCCTCTCATGCCCCAACCCCCTGCCCCATCACCGAGCCCCCTCCCACACCCTGAACTCCTCATTTCTGTCCCCACCCCGGAGCCTGCACCCCCAGCTGGAGCCCTCCCCCCCTCCCCAACACCCTGAGTCATCCTGGTGAAAATGAGCGAGTGAGTGAGGGTGGGGAGAGCAAGCGACGGGGGGTGGGGGGGTGGAGTGAGTGGAGGCGTGGCTTCAGATAAGGGGCAGGGTGGGGTCTTGGAGGCGGGGCAGGGGCAGGGGCGGGGCAAGGGTGTTCAGTTTTGTGGGAGTCGAAAGTTGGCAGCCCCACTCTAGCGCCCTAGAGGCTCCTGCCCTGTGGACATCTCTCGGGCTGTCCCACGAAGGGTCTGTTCTGGGCCCTCAGATATCTGCCAGCTGCCAGCCCAAGTGGGTCTCTGCGACGTCTACTCCTTCCGGTACTTCTACAACGCCACCGCCCAGAGGTGCGAGCAGTTCTTGTACCGCGGCTGCAGGGGAAACGCCAACAACTTTAGGACAAAAGCCGAGTGTGTCCAGGCCTGCGCAGGCCATGGTAAGGGAGAACATTCCCACGCAGCTGGCTCTGCCTGGGGGGCTTTGCGCCCCTGCCCCAGGATACCAGGGACACCCCCGGCAGGGCCCTGCTCACTGGAGTCAGTGGGTCCTGGGGGGCGAGAGGGGCTCAGGCCCCGGGAGTCTGGGCTGGAGTTGAAAGCGGAGGTGAGGCCAAGAGCTGGAGCAGGGCCCAGGGCGGGGGGATGAAGAGGAGAGAGGGGGCCGATGTGGGGGGGAGACGGGGCCCTGGGTCACTCCCCCATGGAGCTGGGAGGCGTTGCCTGCGTGTGGGCGTCTCAGCCGCCCGCGTGACTGTTCTGTGCCCCAGAGAAGCCCGGCGAGTGCCCAGCCGTCGCGCAGGGACAGGCCGGTGCCTGTGACGAGAAATGCAGCCGCGACGACGACTGCCCGGGTTCCCAAAAGTGCTGTGGGAACGGCTGCGGCTCCGAGTGCACCTCAGTGACCCCAGAAGGGGGGAGCGGCGTGCGGGGGGGGGGGGGGGGGCAGGGCTCACAGGGGTTTCCCTCAATGCATGCACCCCCGAGCGCCCCCGGCTCCCAGGGAGGGCAGGCCGGACTCTCGCTGAGCACTCTCCTGGGGTGGCCAGCAGGGTGGGGAGGGCCACACGGTTCTCCCCGGCCTCCGGGGGAGTCACACCCCGGATATGGAGCCAGGGCAGCGGGACTGTGCTCCGTGCAAGGGAGTGGGGAGCTGGGGGGGAGGGGGCAGGTTGCTGGGACTCTCCTTCCCGAGGTGCTCCCTGTCCCCGAGGCAGGTGGACATGCGAGAGGCCAAGACCAAGCAGGGGCAGGGGTTGGGCTAGGCCAGGGCCAGGTCGGCCCATTTCCCGCAGGGACGCCCCTATCCCCACCCGGGGCTGCAGGCCCAGGGTCTGATGCCCCGTGACTGTGTATCGCAGTGAGGCCCGGAGTCTGCCCGGCACTGAGGTTTTTATTTTAATAGTTTCTCTAATCTCCCTGAGCATTTCACAGTCACTATCACCATGAGCATTTCACAGTCACTATCACCATCCTGGCCAGGTGGTCGGTAATATATTCCTACTGCTACATTCTTATTATTCGAGCATGGAATTACTATCCATAGAGATTCTGTGGTACAGTTTGATTCATTTAAGATTTTTACTTCATTTGATTCTACGCTGATCCCGGGATGAGCCGAGTACAGAGCTCCTCAGGGGCTGACGGCCACCTGCCTGAGCAGAGGCCGGGCCCGGGGCTCGCTCAGTCAGGAGCCAGAAGCCCAGTCCCATAAACCTGCCCTGAATGAGGCCAACTCCCGGCTGGCCTCAGAGACTGTAAGACTGGCAGATCCTTAACATGGACATGGGGCCTTCTCTCCACAAAGAGCGCTGGTGCAGAGGCTAAGGGCGCAAGGGGACAGTGGCTGTGGGGTCTCCTTCCTTCCTCCCCCACTCCCCCCCTGCACTTCAGTGAGCAGGCCGGGTCTGACTCCGTGTGGCTGTTGGGTGTTGCAGTGAGGCCTGGAGTCTGCCCGGTGTTACCAGGAGGAGCCGTCGGTGCCTGTGATGAGAGATGCCGTTCCGACAGCGACTGCCCGGGCGCCCAGAAGTGCTGTAGCAACGGCTGTGGCCTGGCCTGCATGGCGGTGAACCTTCTCGGTGAGAGGCGGCGGATCCTTGTGCAGGGCCTGTCGTGGATCAGTCCTTAGACAGGCACATTCGGATCCACGGGTGGATTTTGAACCCGCTGTGTCCAGGGGACATTCAGCTGGCCCCGCTGTGCCCCAGACTCGTAGGGACCCATCTGCCCAGCACAGCCAGAGACCCTGCACCCAGCCCAGAGCTCCTGGTGGAGCTAGAGCAGACCTTGTAGAAAGAGACGTTCAGACTTGAGCTAACGCCCAGGTGACAGAACCCACCACCCCTCTAGGGGAGCAGTTCGCTCCCTGCTCCTTGCTTCTAGCCTGGACATGTGGGGCCCCAGCTCCCAGCCACTGCTCTCAGCTCCCTCTCCGTGCAGACAGCTGCAGACCGTGACCGAGTCACCTCAACCTTCTGGAGAAACTAAACAGATGGAGCTTCTGCAGTTGCTCCCTGCAGAGCGGCCTCCAGCCGCAGACTCTGCCCCTTCCCAGCGTGTCCGCCTGTCCGCAGTGAGCCGGTGGGTCCCTAGCCATAGACCGAGACCACTGGGCACTCGGGGACTCGCTTACTGCTGGGGCTTGGGCTGCGAGTTACCCGGTGCACACAGAGGTGTGGCCCAGGGAAACCTCCTTTTAACATCTTGGCAACATGTGCCCCATCCCCAGCAAGCCTCCCCTAGGGCGACCATTTTATAGGGTGTCACGGAGTGGGGGGGAGTCAGGGCCCTGCACCCCCAATTCCTGCGCTTCATCGTGACTCTCAGCCAGCCAGTAACACAGAAGGTTTATTTAGATGACAGGAGCACAGTCCAAAACAGGCCTTGCAGGTACAGACAAGACCCCCCCGTTAGGTCCATCTGGGGGGGGAGGGCAGGGAGGCCAGAGCCCCATCTGGGCTCCCCTCCATTTCCCCAGCCAGCTCCAAACTGAAACTCCCTCCAGCGTCTCCCTCAGCCTCCCCCCAGCTCCTTCCCCCGCCTTTGTCCAGTTTCCCAGGCAGAGGTGTCACCTGGCCTCCCCCCCCCCCGCCCTGGTTCTCATGTTACGTGCTCGGGTCTCCTCCCTCAAGGAAAGTCTCCCACCCCCGATGCAGACAGTCCCAGCCAAACTCCCCTGCAACCTTCCCAGGTCAATACTCCCCCCTCAGTATTCAAAGAACACATCAAAAACATTTCCACTTCATCACATCGAGACAGTCCCAATATTCGGGCCTTTTTCTTATGTAGGCGCCTATTACCCCCCACCCTCTGTCCCGAACTTTCACGCTTTCTATCTGTCACCCTGGCCTCCCCCCTCTGTGATGTCTGGCCGGGGGTGCTGGCGGGAGCTGATCCGCATGTGCGCAGCCATTTGCAGACGGTTTGCTCCTGAGCTGCCCGGGCTGGTTACCCTGCTAGGACTCTGCTGTCCTGGGCAGCCCTGCTCTCAGCGGAGGGACAGGCCAGGGCAGAGGGCGCAGGAGTGATCTCTGAGGGAGGTGGGCACTGATTTCTCCAGCCCCTCCCTTCCCAGCACACTGTGTGTCTCACCCTTTGGCTGCTCTGTCTCAGTGAAACCTGGCGTGTGCCCAGCCAGAGCCCCAGGGGCCAGCGAGGAGCCCTGTCTATCCCCCTGCGCCCAGGACAGCGATTGCAGAGGAGCCGCCAAGTGCTGCCCCCTCGGCTGTGGCCGCACCTGCCTCGCCCCTCAGAAAGGTGAGTCTGCTGCCCTCTCTGAACGCGCTGAGCCCGGCCCCACAGGCCAGGCTCCCTAGACTCACTGCTGAGCAGGTGAGAGGCATCCGGGACATGCAGGGAAGGGCCAGGACCCACTGCAGAACCACGCCCTGAATGATCCCCACTCCCCAGCCAGCGGCTCAGACTCGGGCCATCGTTCCCACAGGGAGCTCAGTCCCAGGGACCGGGGATGGGGTGTGGGGCACAGAGCGCTGGAGGCGAGGGGGCAGAGGACGTGGGCCCAGAGAGCTGGGGGCGAGGGGGCCAAGATGGAGCAGAGTGAGGACAGACAGGGCGGGAGCGCTGGCTGCACGGAGGGCACATGAGCTGAGGCCGAGAGGGGACTGGCTGCTGAGGGCAGGGCCTGGGGGAGAGGACTGGACGTGCCAGGGCCCAAGCCAGGCGTGGGTCAAAGGACAGAGAGGGGGTGACCTCTGAGAGTGCGAAGGGCAAGGAGAGGCCAGGGAAGGTGCCAATGCAGCAGGCCAGGGGACTGGTTCTGGGTCACCCTTCAGGCCTGGCCCGGCCCATTTCCCCAAGGATCCCCCCGCCTGCCGCCCCATTCCCGCATGGAGTCGCTGGGACTGGGCTGGGGCAGCTCTGGGACTGGGCAGGGCCTCACCGCCATGCGCCCGGCCTGTGTTCCAGAGAAACCGGGGCTTTGCCCAGCATTTAAAATCAGAGACGAGGGGCCTCCCCTGATGCTGTGCCAGCAGGACAGCGACTGCCACAAGAGAGACAAGTGCTGCAGGATGGGATCCAGCTACGTCTGTGCATCGCCCTCCCCCATGGCAGGTGAGACGGAACGTGCCCGTGTGGGCTGCTCCAGGTGCACCCCGTCACTCCCTCCCAGGGGCCGATGGCTCGAGGGCCGTTTCCCGGTGCAGGGGCTGGGATCCTCTGGAGCCCGGGACCTTTATGTGTGGGGGGGCGAGGGCACCAGGAGGCGGAGCAGTGAGGGACTAGGGGGACAGGCAGTGAGCAGAGACCTCTGACAGCATATGGGGAGGGTGGGGTGCCTATGAGGGGTGCTGAGAACAGAAGCAACTGGGCCTTTTCCTCCTAAGATACCGTCCTGGGAACGAAAAGGTCTCAGTGCAGGGGGTGGGGAACGGCTGGAACTCAAGGGTGGAGGCTGGATGGAGGAGAGAGCAGGGTCTTTTGTCAGCCCCATTCCCCTCGTCCCCCCGATACCAGCTGGAGTGTTAGGGTTTGTCGGGATGGGGCGTCACTGCCCTGTGACCGCTCTGTGTTGCAGCAGAACCCAGCGCTGGCCCAGCCACCCCCGAGGGGCACGGTGGGCAGAGATGCCGCAGTGACCGGGACTGCCCGGGAGCAGAGATGTGCTGCAGCCATCGGTGCCGCGCAGAGTGCCCCGCGCAGGGCGAAGGTAAACCCCACGCTGTGCCATTGGCAGCAGGAATCTGAGCTGTGACCGTCCCTCGCCCCCATCGGTTTGGTACTAATGCTGCCCACAGCCCCAGCCTTCGGCCAGTCGCCTTCTGGGGGGCAGAACTGGACTCTGGGGAACGGCAGCTCCCCTCCTGGTTGGTGAAGAGGGTCACTCCAGGGAGCTGCAGGGGTTTTAGAATGGGGCAGCACCCAGGGGCAGGGAGATCCTGGCTTTGCCCATCGTTACCTGGCATTACGGGGCGCGGAGCTGAGGGAAGGGAAAGGATAACGCTGGGCAGGGAGGGGGCTAAGTGTGATGAACGGCGCACGGAGCTAGCGGGATGGGACAGGCACCAGGGTCCTTCTTCAGTCCTGGTCTGGCCCGGTTCCCTCGGGACACCCCCTTCCCCATGGAGCTGTGAGGCTACAGCTGGTGCGGCTCTGGGCCCAGCCGGGGTCTCACTGCCATGGGGCCGTTCTATGTAACAGGGACCCCCACATCTGGCCCAGCCACCCCCGAGGGGCACAGTGGGCAGAGATGCCACAGTAACCAGGACTGCCCGGGAGCAGAGAGGTGCTGCAGCCATCGGTGCCGCCAGGCATGCCCAGCGCAGGGCAGTGGTGAGTTTCCATGCCCGTGCTGAGGGAATGGCAGCGACTGGCTCGCACTGGGAACACACTGACAGGACCGCGCAGGGGGTGGACAGGAACAGGGGCTAGAGCGGGGGTAGGCAACCTATGGCACGGGTGCCGAAGGCGGCACGCGAGCAGATTTTCAGTGGCACTCACACTGCCCAGGTCCTGGCCACCAGTCCGGGGGCTCTGCATTTTATTTAATTTTAAATGAAGCTTCTTAAACATTTTTAAAACCTTATTTACTTTACATACAACAATAGTTTAGTTATATATTATGGACTTCTAGAAAGAGACCTTCTAAAAACGTTAAAATGTATGACTGGCACGCAAAACCTTAAATCAGAGTGAATGAATGAAGACTCGGCACAGCACTTCTGAAAGGTTGCCGATCCCTGGGCTAGAGGCTGGGCCTGCAAAGGGGCCTCTGCTCTCTGCCTGTCCCAGCGGGTCCGTTTCCCTGAGGTCTCCTCTCCCTCCACACATGGAGGCAGTAGGGGCTCGTCAGGGTCCGACTGCCTTGGGCCACCCAGTGTTCCAGCCGGCAGCCTGCCCGGCCACTGAACAAGAAGCCGTGGGGCCGGCAGGGAGCGGCTGTGACCATCCCTGCACCACCCTCGCCCGGGGAAGGACAGTCCCACGCCCCAGGCTCGGGCGCACCCCCGGGCGGTCTCCAGGCCCTGCCCGGCAGCCTTGTGCCTTTGTCCGGGGTCCCACCCACCTGGGCTCTCTGCCTCTGAGATGACTCGCCAGGCCCAGGGAATCCCCCTCCCCACAGGCATCTGGCTGCCTGGTGCAGAGAGAAGGGCACACGGGGTCCCAGTGACCCCCTGGCGCAGCCAGTGCGCCAGCATCCCACACTCCCCACGTCGGCAGCACCCGGCTCTTAGCGCCCAGCCCTCCACCTGATCACAGGCGGCTTGGGCCAGCGACGCTCCCTTCCCCGGTGGGCTCAGACCCCTCCCTCATCCCCTGGCCTTGCCTTGGCCTCCCTCTTGCCGGCTCCGTGACTGCCCCTGGCCTCTGTCTGCCCAGGGAAGCCTGGATTCTGCCCTGTGCGCAACGGGCTCTACTTCAGCTATGAGTGCGAAGCCAGATGCCGAGGGGACGGCGAGTGCCCCGGGGCCCAGAAGTGCTGCCTGCGCGGCTGCGACCACGAGTGCTTGGCCCCTTCTGAAGGTAGGAGATGGTTCAGGTTGCCCTGCAAGCAGCCCCTCACCTGGGCAAGGCCGGGGGGCGTCTGTGGCCTCCCAGCAGGGCAGTGAGACGCTGATCCTGAAGGAAGCCCCAACTACTGCTACAGGGGAGAGACAGAGCAGAGCCAGTCCCTGCGGGTTTGTTGGGGTGGCTGGGATATGCCAGCCTGGCATGTGCCCAAGGCTCTCAGACAAGCTCCCAGGCATAGGACCCCGGAGCCACCATATCTGTGCAGAGAGACAGGGCCCAGGGATCCCAGGGCTCAGCCTGCAAAAAACAAGTCACCCCATGACTGTGACATCACGACACACCGACCAGGGACGAGTCAGACGGGAGCATGACATCACGACAGACCGACCAGTGACGAGTCAGAGGGGAGCGTGACGTCACGACAGACCGACCAGTGATGAGTCAGTCGGGAGCATGATATCACAACAGACCGACCAGTGACGAGTCAGAGGGGAGCGTGACGTCACAACAGACCGACCAGTGACGAGTCAGAGGGGAGCGGCCGTCTCAGCGGTGGGGCTCGGTGACCTAGGCACAGATCAGCAGCGCACCAGGAGAGCCAGTGGATCTGGTGGGGAGGGTGTTCGTCCCGTCACACAGACCCCAGTGAGCCCCCTCACTCCTCTGCCTTCTGCTTTCCAGAGAAGCCCGGCATCTGCCCCCTGACAGACGGGATAACGTCCGATTCCCCCTCGTGCAAGTCCTCGTGCGCAGAGGACAAGGAGTGTGCAGGGGACCAGAAGTGCTGTGACAGTGGGTGTGGCCGGACATGCCAGGCCCCGGAGAGAGGTAACTAGAGCAGCAGGGCTGGGCTCCCCTCACTCCAGCATGGGGCTGTCACCCCCGTTAGCATCCACTGAAGCCCCCTTGCCACGCCGGTGCATCCCCAGCAGAAAAGGGTTAACGCAAAGGGTTAATGCTCTGTGCTGTGATGGCCAGTGGCTGTGTGCGAGGGAGGCAGAGGGCAGCTGGAGACGACACCCCCCCCCACATGCCAGGTGCTGCCTGTGCTCCAGCGCGCCGATGGGCCAGGAGCCCCCGCTCCAGCACAGGGGTGCCAGGCGCAAGGTGTGGAGACATCTGCTAAGCAGTCGTTCCCCAGGCTTTGGGCAGCCCTGCGTCAGGAGCTGCAGCTGCTGAGTGGGGCTGGGTGGTGGGGAGGGGAGCTGCAGCCCCCTCTGGACTCCAGGGCCAGGCTGGAGAGCCGGGTGCCGGCAGAGGCAGCACTAAGAACCCCCCAGTGCAGCTCCAAGAGGCCAGAGGGTGCAGCAGGATGGCCTGGCTGGCTGTGCCATCGCCCTAGGGAGGGTGTGGTGGGTCCCCACTGTGACACCCTCTATCCAGCAGCCTCCAAACCTGCCCTTCCCCCCCTCTCGTCAGAGAAACCTGGCACGTGCCCAAAGCAGAAGCCCTGGCAAACACTGGTGCCGTGCAACGAGCAGGACGCCTGCATTCATGACCGGGATTGCCCCAGGCAGGAGAAGTGCTGCTTCGCCGGCTGTGCCATGCGCTGCGGCCCCCACTACAAAGGTAACCAGCTAGGCTGCAGCGACACCCCCCAGAGGGACCAGCCCCATTCGTCCGGGGCAGACTGGCAGCCCAGGGAGAGAAAGGGCCCTATGCCAGGGCAGGGCAGAAGAGAGAGGGTGGATGGGGGTGCGGGAGCCAGGAGTGAGCTTGGGCTGGAGGGGGCTGAGAGTCTGGTGGGGACCCTCCCCGATGGGCAGTTCTCATTACAGGCTGATATGGAGGGTCCCCTGCCTGCCACGGAGGGGTTCATTGTCCCTCTCTCATCCCCTCCCGCTCCCCAGAGCATCCCGGTGCCTGTCCCAGGGCAAAGGCCTGCAGCGACCCGAGGCAGCGCCGGTCAAACCAGTGCCTGGACGACCACGTGTGCGAGAGACACGAGAAGTGCTGCGAGACGGGGTGCCGCCGGGAGTGTGTGGCCATGCGAACAGGTACGGGCACGCTCCCTTCCCCGGCCCTGGGCTTCCCTGGGCTCTGCGCACCCCTGTGATCAGGCGTCCGGGCCCCCTACTGTCTTACAGAGAGCGAGGACAAGCCTGGGGACGGCACCACAGGCCCCTGCGTGGACGAGTGCAGGGCTGACGAGGAGTGTCCCAGAGGACAAAGATGCAGAAACAATGGCTGTGGCCGTGTCTGCCAGGAAGTCTCCCGAGGTGAGGCTAGACCTAGAGCCTGGGGGCAGCATGGAGTTTGGGCCTGCACAGGCCACGGACCAGCATGCAAAGGGGCACTGCTCGGGCGGGGCCCCATGCCAGGGAAAGGAGCCTTGGTATCGCTGTGCATGGGCAAGGGAAGCTTCCCTCTGCAGTCACTGCTCACAGGCCGTACAGGGCTGATGTGAAGGTCTAGCCCTCAGCGTCAGGCCCTGCCCTGCACGTCAGCACTGACCGAGCCCGCCTCTCCCAGGGCCCAGACGTCAGCGTCTCTGCCGAAACTGGCCAGGACCCTCGTTCCTGCTTGGGTCGAGCTCTGTCCCAGCCAGGTTCTGTCCTGCCCTCGTGCCTGGAGTGCGGGAGGCGCTGTGCCTGACATCAGTCCCGTGGCTGGATCGCTCCCCGGGCAGGGGACGGTCTGTGCTGGCCGTGTTGTTGTTGCTCATTTATTCTGGTCATTTGGGGCTGCTGTGTGTTTATCCTGGAGAATGCTGGTCGGAGCAGTGCCCCAGGCATGGGGGAGGTTTGGGGTGGCCCCTCGCTCCTGCAGGAGCTTGTTCCAGTCTGGGGCCAGCCCCAAGGCAGTTCTGTCTCCTGCCCAGATGAGCTTTACCCTCCTGGGGCGGCTCCATCCCAGCCTCATCCCAGCGCTCTAGGCTTGGTTGGACGTGCAGGGCCCAGGCCCTGAGCACTTTGAAGATAAGGCCTGGGGCTTTGAAGTGGAAAGGCCCCTTCAAGGGTCTCTGGGCACCCAGAGGGCAGCGCTCTGGGGCCTTCCGTCACCCTGGTTGGGCCAATTCCCTCAGGTCCCCTGTTCCCACATGGAGTCGCTAGGCTCCAGCAGGCCAGGTGTCTCATGGGCACGTGGCCGCTCTGTGTTGCAGGCGTCTGCCCGAGGCCCCTGGGCTTTGGGCCGTGCGTGGAATTGTGCTTTGCTGATGTGGAGTGTTCCAGGGGACAGAAGTGCTGCAGCAATGGGTGTGGCCACGTCTGCATGATGGCAATCACCGGAGGTGAGCTCAGGCCGGGTCAGCCCTGCCCCAGATGCAGGTGCTCCCGTCCATGCAGGGCCCGGGGATGTGCCCCTAGCCGAGCAGGGAGGAGGGGTCGGGGTCACTCAGGGAAGGGGCAGGACCCCAGCCCCAGTAACCAGCCCTGGATGATCCCGCTGCCCCCCAGGCCCAGGAGCTCAGAGTTTCTACTCAAACGGCTTCTCTCCTTCCTGAGCCCTCTTCCCATGGGCAGGGCTGGCTCCAGGGTTTTTGCCGCCCCAAGCGGCGAAAAAAACAAACAAAAAAAAAAACCACAATCGTGATCGGCGGTAATTCAGCAGTAGTTCCACTGTGCCGCTTTCTTCTTCGGCGGCACTTCGGCAGCAGGTCCTTCCCTCTGAGAGGGACCCAGGGACCCGCTGCCGAAGAGCCCGACGTGCCGCCCTTTCCCCTTGGCCGCCCCAAGCACCTGCTTGCTGAGCTGGTGCCTGGAGCCGGCCCTGCCCACCATGGGGAGCTCCCAGCTCCAGATGCTGAGGGCCGGAGGCTGAGCCCATGTCCTGGGGCTGTTCTATGTTCCAGGGAGACCCGGCTTTTGTCCAGAGCCCCAAGGGAAAGGCCTTTGTGTGGAGCGATGCCGGGAGGACGAGGAGTGTCCCAGGGGGCAGAAGTGCTGCAGTAATGGGTGTGGTCACGTCTGCACGTCCCTGATCTCTGCAGGTAAGTTTAGTCCCTCAGCGTTAGCGTCTCCAGAGCTGAGCCCTGCCCCACTCGCGGACTCTGAGCTCTTGGGGCAGGGCCCATGTGTGGCCAGCGCCCAGCACCACAAGGCCCTGGCCTCTCGGTGCCACCACCAGACACTGTGAAATTATTCCTCCTTCCCTCCCCTGCCACGTGCACCGAGAGCTTTTCTGTGAGGAGAACAAGGGCTGGGAGGCTGGGTAAGACCGGCCCTGCCCAGCACAGACAGCTGGGTCCGCTGGCATCTCGCCTCTTTGCCACGGCGCTTGTGGGCCTGCCGTGCCACCAGCGGGGAGGCGTGGATCCTCCCAGCGTCACGGGCGGGGTCTGGGCGGATCCTTCGGAGATCTGCAGTGAGAAGTCAGCAGGATTTGGGGAGCCGGGGGGGCCTGTCGGGGGTTTTACGGACACAGACACTGCAGCTCGGAGGGGGCGCTCCACCCATGAGGGTGAGCCAGCTCACCCCATCTGGAGGAGTCCAGGCACCACGCAGACAGGTGGCTTCTCCAGCAGCAGCAGAGGCCCTTTGAGGGTGCGTCTCCTGTCAGGAAGCAGCTGAGGGAGCCTAGCAGTGAGCCACCCCTGGGTGCTCCCATGCACACCCCCATTCATCCTGCAGCTCAGGCCATGACAGGGGTCACCGCTGGCCTTCCCCAACCTGGCAGAGTTCTCACAGCTTAACCCCCTCCTAGGGTGAAAGTCTCCTGCCAGCTGGGACCTTCTCCCGCCCGGCCCCCGTTCTGCATCAGCCTGTGGCTAATCAACCCCTTCCCCTTCTCCTGCGTCCCCTGTGGCTGGAGTTACTGTGCCCTAGAGAGTAGCTGGAGGGACCCGATCTGCGGCTGGGGGGGCGCTTGGCACCTGGGGGCAGGAGGGGCAGTTTGCAATGTCACTGGACTCCCTCCTCCAGCTGCTTCTCCCCATCCCAGCCCTGGCTGCCCCTTGCTCCCCATTGCTTACCACAATGCGCCCAGGATGCGGAGGGCCCGTCCTGGCTCCGCTGGGAGCTGGCACCGGGGTGTGACGGCCTCAGCAAGGCCCAGCCAGCCAATCAGAACATGGCTCTGGGCAGTCAGGGTCCCCAGCCAGATCCTAACCAACCCCCGGGTGCTGGGATCCGTGGGTGCTACCACGTGACTGGGCCCACCGGCTCCCTAGCACACCCCCGTACAAGGCCGTCTGGTCTCCTCCTGCTGCAGAGAAGCCTGGGACCTGCCCACCGGACCCAGCAAAGTGTCGACACGCAGCCCCCCCGGAGTGTGACAGTGACGGCGGGTGCCCTGGGAGGAAGAAGTGCTGCTTTAGGACGTGTGCCATGCGCTGCATAGACCCAGAGGAAGGTACCAGTCATGCAGCCAATCACTGCGCACGGGGGTGTAGGGCCGAGCGAGCGCTCACGGCTCTGGCTGCACCGGGCCCGTTGGGAGGGGTGTGCCGCCCCCGGCTGCTGGCACAGATCGCTGCACCGGCCTCACTCCTATCCAGGGGCACCAGGCCCTGCTTCACCAGGGCAGGACCCGGGTACCTGACTGCTTCCCAGCTTTCCTATGGGACAGGGAAACTGGGCATAGGCTGGTGCGGAGCCTGACGCTCCCCCAACACGTGGGTCCCCCCCAGAGCTGGAATGGGGCTGGGACAGGGTCCCCAGGAGCATGTGGGGTGTTCAGCAGAACGTGGGGCAGAGAAAGGGGTAAGTCTGTGCCCAAAGCTTGGAGAAACGTGTCCCGTAGCCCGCCCGTGCACTGAGCTTGTTTGTGTTTCAGATGCTGTATAACGAGCGGGCCCAGCGCCGCAGGAGCTGAAAGGAAGCCGCACCTTTATCACGGGACAGCCCATCGTCCAAACCCCCTCGCTGGCCCGGCCCCCTCCCGCCTGCTCTGCCCATGTAACCTCCAGACCACGACAGACTCCCCAGCAATAAAGCGAGTGCCGGCGCCAGGCCTGAGTCCTGTGTTCCCTGCCGAGCCCGCTCGGCGGGTCCCTCTGGGCGCAGCTGAGAAGGTGCCAGATTTCCTCAAATCCACCTTGCTGGAACCACAGAGCGGAGCCACCTGCAGGCCCGACGCCAGCCCCGGGGGCGGAGACGCAGCCTCCTGCCTGCTGCCACCTCAGCCCCAGCGCCAGCCCAGCCCTGCTGAGCCGAGGGAAAACGGGGCACCGGGATGAGTCCTGCCCCATTATTCAGACTGAACTCAAGCCACTCGCTGGCTCTGCCCCCAAGTCCCACCGCCCGAGCGCCTCCCGTCCCGCTGCCTTGGGGCTCCAGAGAGCCTCCGTAGCTGGGGGGAGCAGAGCGCTCTCCCCCCAGAACCCAGGCACGCACTGTAGCTCTGCTCCAGCGCAGCTTCCCGCTCCTGGTCCTCGTCCCCTCGGCTCCCCAGCTCGGGCGCCAGGTGGTGTCAGAGCGGAGCCGCCTCGGTTATAAAACCGACCGAGCCCAAGTAACCAAACAAAGGCAACGGGCCTGTGCTGGGGGCTGCCCATGGGGCCCCCTGAGTCTTGAGCTCCCCTGGAAGCATCAGGCCAGGCAGCAGCACTCAGCCGCCCTAAAACAACCCAGCAGCAGTCGAAGGACAAAGGGGGGTGTCCTCCAGGGACATCAGTTGCTATGGGCAAGGGGGGCAGTTGTCCCCTCCAGACTTAACTAGGGCTGTAGGCTCCATTATCTCTTTGCTCCCCCACCTGACTAGGGAGACAATCATTAGGAAAGCAATAATTTTCTCATGCTGCTCTGTGGGGCAGGCGATGCTCTCCGTGCCCCGCACCAGAAATCTTCTGAAAAACTGCCCTTGTTCTCCCCACATCACTGCCCCTGCTAGGGGGTCTGCACTCCCACCACACACCCCCAGCCCATTGCCTGGCCATCTCCCCAGCTCTCTAGGCTATGATTAGTTGCCCCCCGGGTGCTTGAGGAGGCTGTTGTGGTTTCACTTGCCATTGGGATAGGATCCCAGCTCGCAGCTGTGAAACCCCAACCCCTGAGCATCACAAAACCGAACCCCTGCAGCATGTCCCTGGCCTAGCAGGGCTGAGCTAAGCTCCAGCCTGGGAGCAAGCTCTGGAAGGGGGGACAGGCAGGGAGATCAGCGAAGGGACAGAGCTGGGGACGTGTTTCAGGCCAGGCACAGAATGGCACAGCTGACGTGGTTGCCCTGTGCAGAACCCAAACTCCAGGCGTGAGCCATTTCCATGTGTTCCCAAGCCCCTTCTAAAGCCCCAGCAGAGACCTCACTTTGGCCCATATGTTTGAACCACCCAGTTCTACTGAGCCCTGGGCTCAGGCCTCCCTTCCTGCAAGCAAACCCCCCAGAGCTGCAGCTAGACCCTGTCCCTGGAGCCCCAGACACATCCTAGCACCAGTCAAGGGAGCCAGGCCCGGCAAGCAGCTCCTCCCACACAGCAACAAGCCTCAGCAGCAGGGGAAGGGAAACCCACCTGTATTTATAGGGTTTGTTTCCCCAGCCTCACCAATCACAGGGCAGAAGAGTCCATTTGGGTCCAGAAGGGGAGCTCTGGCTTTGTGTGCATGGCTGTCTGCCCTGCTAATGAGAGGCCAGGCCCAGAATGGACTGGATTCTTTGTGGGTCAAAGCAGAACAGACCTGCAACCTGGGGGGAGGGGGGATTGATTTGATTTTCCCATTTCCATTGCCTGGCAAGCTGGTTCCACCAACCTGTCTGAGTGGACTCTCCCAGGGGAGGGGTGGAGCCAGAGCCTTTAAATTCATCTCCTGAGGCTGTGCCCAGGTTGGCTGGGGCTGGGGCTGGGGCTGGGGGTCGGGGTCCGGGTCCGGAGCTGTGAATTTGGCAGTGTCTCTGTTTGCTGCTATAAGACCCCTATGTGGGTGATGCCCCAATTTAGAACACATCAACTTTTTTTCTACTGGGGTGGGGTCTCCTGGCTGCTCCCTGGCCAGCTCTGGTGGGGTGTGAGGGGTGGGGGCTTGGTGACCGGCATGGCTGTGGACTTGCAGTAACCCTTTCCAGGGAGAGTGTTTCGGCTGGAGCTGAGCGCCCTGGGGTGATAATGCCCCTGCACCTCTAGAAGTACTTGCTAGTGCTATTTCAGTGATGAGGCACCAGACCCCGCCTGGGGGGATGGGGGGGATGATGGTTTATTTTTATTATAGTGGAAGGCGAACGCTCCCCCTGGGATCAGGCCCCTTGGGCCAGATGCTGTGCAAACACAGAAGAGACAGCCCCTGACCCAGGACGCTCACCCTCCGCCCACCCAGGCAAGACAAGGGTGGCAGGGAAACAGAAGCACAGAGACCTGCCCGGAGTCGCAGTGCAGAGATTTGAACCCAAGTCTCCTGGCTGCCAGCGCAGTGCCTTATCTTAACCACGTTGCCTCTTCCTGGAGCTGGGTGGGCGTCTGAACAGGGCAGGCCCAGCAGATAAAAATGGGTGGTTCTGACACGAAGGATGGGACGGGAGAGCGCCAGCCAAAAGAACTAGAAACTCATGAGACTGTCCAAAGTACTAAGCGCTGGGTCTCGTTCTTTGCTGGCTGGGGCTGTTGCTCGTGCCCCGGCTATGATTTCAGGCTTTTCTGCACAACCATTGTTTTAAATGAAGCTGAGATTCCTGTGCTCCCATGACTCCAGGAGCTGGGGCTTCAAGGAAAGCACGTGCTGGCACGAGAGTCACTGTAGCAAAGGGTGCAGAGCAGCAGGCGGGGAGGAAGGGTATCATGGTGGGGCCTTGGCAGGGGACCCTGCTGCCCATACACTAGGGCTGTGCACTCACAACACCCGATGTGCCCTGGAGTCCGAAGTGCCCCCCCAGCCCCTTCCAGTAGGGAAGCGGTGGCAGAGTCTGCACTGCAGCCAGAGGTGCGTGCACAGCTCCCTCCCATCCCAAGGGCAGGAGTGACACAACCTACTTCTGTTTGAAAAGGGTCAGTCCTTGTATTTAACTCCGCAGACCCCCGCGAGGTCCCAGGAAAAGGGGGCTTGGCTGATAGCCCCTCCCTCCGGCCTGCCAGCGCCGCGCCCTGTGCTAAGCGTTAACACGCAGCACACACGTCCATGGCTACAGAACGGCAATGGGGCTGGGGCCAGCTCGGGGGTCGCAAGAGCTGGCTCTGCATCTGGGAGGCAATGCAACCACCTCCAGCCAAACCCTGCTGCAGAGTGTCCGGGGGAGCAAAGGTCTGGGCTTCCCAGGCAGGGAGAGTCGTTTCCCGCAGAAAGGGACAGGAATTGTGCCCAGGAAGACGGTCACCAGCCAGGAACGGCAGCTTCCTCTTCCGCTCCCCTATGCTGGCCAGGGCTAGGCAGTGCCTGCAACAGAAAGGCAATGGGGTCAGGCCCAGGGCGTGCCCACGGCACCTCTCCTTCCCAGCTCCCTCCAAAGATGGCCCTTCCCCCACCTAGTGCGTGGGGCGGCTCCCCCGCCCTCCCAGACTTGGGGGCCTGCTGGCATCCTGGGCACCGAGCCCTGGCCTGAGAGGCCCAGGTCCCAAGGCAGCCCTGGGCCCCGCCCCTGGCGCTGGGCCGCACGCTCCATTTACCAGGCTGCCTGCAGGCCTGCAGACATTCCTCCTTCGTCTCAAAGTTGTTCCTGTTGCCGCCGCAGCCGCCGTACACAAACTCCTCGCAGGCCTGGCTGGACCAGTTGTAGAAGAAGCGCGGGAACCTGGCCTTGCAATAGCCGCACACCGACGGCAGGTGGCAGAGATCTGCAGAGCAAGGGGGGGCTGTGAGAGAGAGGGGGGGGGGACGCTCCAACTGCCTCTGCCATCCAGGGCATCGGGGCGCTGTGCTCAGAGGGGCCTGCGAAGTGGGGCGGGGTGCAGGGCAGCAGAGCAGTTCTGTTGCACACGCCCCTCGTCCAGTCACCTGACACCATGCCCATGGGCACAATCGCACCTGGCATCAGACCCATGCTGCCCCCCAGCTGCACAGCTCGGCTACCTCAGGCCTCCTGCCGAGGGTCAGGGCCGGCCCCACAGGGGAACTCCAAGCCCAGGCGCGGGCTGGCTGCAATGGCGCGTCTGCCTGTTAGCGCAAAGGGGCCGTGCCCACTGCTGGGGTGAGCGTTACACGCGGCGTGGCAGTGGGCGCATTGCTAATGCCCGGCCCATTCGCCGGAGACCCCATGCAGAGGGCAGCATCTGCCCAGCCAAGAGCTGGAGTGAGTTAATGAGTTGGTAGCTGGACCCGTCGGACGGGCTCGTCCCAGCCAGGGAGGGACCGCGGCTTCTCACAGGAGAAGTTGCTTCCTAGGCATAAGCCTCACCCCACAGGCCACTCCCTGATGAATGAGTGAGTGGGAACCGTTGGACCCCCCCACCCCCACCCCTGGGAGCGAGGGGGGATCAGTCACAGCCTTGGCTATGGGGAGGCAGCGTGAGGCCCCTGCACCCAGAGAGCGTCACGCCTCAGAATGGCCCAGCAGCCACAGACCTACAGCTGCAGAGAAACGTCTGTGAGATTCGGCCCCCCCCAACCACTCAGGCGTGGGCTGCTCCCCGGCTCCGAATCATGGGGCAAGCCCAGCTCCTGTCTCCCTGTGCCGAAGTGGGAGATTTTCTTGTTTGTTTTCTTGTTTTCAGTGGGGTTTCAATGGTTTGCATGTGGAGGGGGTGGGACTCAGTTTCCCTGGGTGTTACTGATTTAACGAGGTGAGGGGAGAGGGAGTTTGTTGTTACAGAGGACCGGAGAGGGAATGTGGGACCCCAGCCAATGGCCTGGAGGATGGAGACCCCAGCGACCGGACCCGGAGACCCAGCTCAGGAATCGCAGCCGGTTCTGGCCAGTGGGAGGACAATGGGCTACAGAATGAGGACCCAGTGACCTAACCAGCCTGTTCCAGCCAGAGGACAGAAGAGGGGAG